TACATGAACAAATTAAAATTCTAAAGCTACCAAGATCAAGAGGCAGCTATGACCGGAACGCATGCACATCTTCAAATCTAACTCTTACCGTGCAAAACAACATTAACATCCAACATCTGCACGCAAGGTGCAGAAGTATAGTATGAGTACAACCGACCCCATGTACTCAATAAGTAACAAACCTAACTTTAGGTTGAAAGTAGTGACGAGCTGAAATAAAGGTATGAGTCCAACACTAATAGCCAACAACAGTTCATAACAACATAATAAAAGTGATAAAGGAAGTAACTGAGAGATATAGTGGTCAGCTCATTCGCAGTTCCGAAAAATAGGCATGTTTTTCAAGTATGTCAGTGAAAACCCAAATCTTTTACCGAAATCACCAAAATATGAGTACGTTTGTAAAACTATGATTTTTCCCAAAACTTTCAATAGGCAAATGTTTCATTTTCAAATGGCATGAGGAAAGTACATCTTTATGCCTACATGTCAATGTGTATGTGAAGTAATGAATGACGCAATATCGTACAGCATGAGAAAAATGCATCTCTATGCTTGTAGGTCAAGTGTGCATGTCGAATGCAATGCAACTCAGTGATAAAACCATATGCATACTCTCAGAGTATCAATTCACTCAGTCCTCCCAGTCACTCAGTCCTCACAGTCACTCAGTCCTCATAGTCGCTCAGCCTTCCTAATTACTCGGCACTCGCTCTCGTCACTTGTACTCAGTAGGTACCTGCGCTTACTAGGGTGTGTACAGACTCCGGAGGGGCTCCTTCAGCCCAAATATTATAACAAGCCAATCATGGCATAAATAATTAAAACATATTGTGGAGTGCATCTCGATCCCATCATAAATTAATAATACCTGATGCGGCGTGCATCCCGATCCCATCAATATCCTCACTATCAGGTCTTCAGCCTCACTCGATCATCAATCTCTCCAGTCTCTCGGGCTCACAATGTCATAAAAATCGGCCCAAAATGATGATTTGATGTATCAATAAATGGTAATAGAGACTTAGATATGATATGCAAATGAACGCGTATGACTGAGTATGTAATTGCTATGTAAGCAAATAATTCAACAACAAAAATGACCTCAGTGGGTCCCAACAAGATAAGCATATAGCCTGGACATGGTTTCTAACATGGATCACAGCTCAATTACTCTATCACGTAGAGATTTCATGGATACAAATAATATTAGGTAACTACACAGTACCACAGAAATAACCGAGTCACAATTCACATGGTGCACGCCCACACGCCCGTCACCTAGCTTGTGCGTCACCTCAACGCCAAACACATATCACGTATATTCAGGGATTCATACCCTCAGCGCCAAGTTTTAAAGTATTACTTACCTCGAACAAGTCAAATCCAATACCGAGCAAGCCAAGAGATGCTCCAAAAATGCCATCCCACGCGTACCGACCTCCGAACGACTCGAAACTAGCCAAAAGCAACTCAAATACATCAAATAATGCCAAAGGAAATAAACCCAATTGATAAATGTCGAATCTTTAATCAAAGCCCAAAATCAACACAAAAGTCCAACCCGAGCCCGCGCCTCAGAACTCAACAAAACTTATAAAATCCGACAACCCATTCAATTACGAGTCCAACCATACTAGTTTCACTCAAATCCTACTCCAAATCGATGTTCAAAACTCGAATATTCGCTTTAAACATGAAATTCATTCTTCCAAATCACTTCTGTATCACCTAAAAACCAAGACCGGCGATTCAAACAAGTTATAATACATCACACGAAGCTAATCAAGACTTCAAATAGAAGGAAGGAACGCCAGCGCTCGAAACGACCGGTCGGGTCGTTACAGATAAGGGGCCAGCCCACCACCAAGATTGACGGGCCTATCTAGAGATTTAATATGTTTCTCCCACATTTTCTGAGTATATTATTGTCTAAGGATTTTTTTATTTTCAGGAAACTACCCGCTATATCCATTTATAAATAGCTTATTATAAAACTTGGTCAATTCATAAAATATTACTAATATTAACTAAATATTACCAATATTTCTAATTAGCTATTCGTAGCCAAAAAAGGTCAAATTTTTTCTTTCTTTTGAGTGAGTGTTATAAGAATAGATTGGGTACATCTCAACGAGCTTGAATCCCAATTTTGGGATGATTTGGTAAAGTTCTGAGGTGATTTGAATTGAAAATTCGAAGTAGAAGATGAACATGAAANCAGAAGAATTTTTTGAACTCGATTTTAACTACGAATTTTGATACAAAATTAGTCCAAATCACCTTCAATCTTCCTAAACTTTGTATATTGACTTATCTATATGTTTTCAATGAATATCAATCATACCCATTGAAAAAGGTCCTTTTTTGCTTAGATTTTTGGAATCTTCTATATATATAATTTTTTTTATTTCATTACCTTATTTGCTATATGATACATAAAATTTCCTTTCCGTCTTGCATCTAATGATGCTAATCATGCTTAAAAATATAGAAGGAGATCATTGCATGTGATTCTTTGAGAGAAAGAACCTTATTTATTTGAATTTTTAATTTTTATATGTGTTTGACTAGTTTTGGTAAGTCTATGATTAGTGGCTAGAGGTTGGTAAGTTGAGACTTATTTGGTACATTTCTGTAAGATTCTCTTTTTTATATATATTATATTATGATTTTTTTACCGTTCTTACTATGTTTATTTTTTTTACAAATACGAGGACCGGAGAATTATTCTGTTTGGAGCCGAGAAATGCGAATTGCGATCATAGGTCGGAACAAGCTAGGGTTTATTGATGGCACATTAGAAATGGAAATTATGGTACAAATCTTTGGGAGAGGTGCAACGTGATCGTATTATCATGGATAACGAATTGCATGTCACTGGAGTTGCTCAGTGGAATTGTTTACTCATCAAATGCAACAGCTGTCTAGAACGATCTAAAGGAACGATTTGTCAAAGTTGATTGTTCAAGGATCTTCCAGATTCAAAAGGAAATTGCAACTATCAATCAAGGTCCTGCATCAATCTCTTCGTATTTCTCAAAATTATGATTACTGTAGGGAGAGTTTGATAGCTTAGCACCAGCACCGGGTTGTGACTGTGCAAAATCGAATGAATCAATTGCATTTATGGAGAGATTGAAGCTATTACAATTCCTCATAGGATTGAATGATTCATAGGAACAAGCTCGCAGTTAGATATTGATGATGATACCAGTTTCTTATATGAACAAGGCTTACTCAATGGTAATTGAGCGTGAGAGTAAAAGAGCTATGACAAATCATCCAGATTCGACTGGGAGACGTGATCCAACTGCCTTAATGAAAACTAGAGATGGTGCTCCATTTAGACCTAAAAGAGGCTATAATATGTACTGTGATTTTTGCAAGATGAAAGGGCACACTCAAGAAAACTGCTACAAGATTGTTGGCTATCCAACAAACTTCAAGCCTAAGAAGAAAGGAGGATTCAACTCTGCTAATTCTGCCTCAGAAGAAGATGCTCAACCACAACACCAAGGAAGCAGGATTGTAGATCAATCTAATGATTGGGCCACTACATCATCAGACTTCGGTATAGCACCAGCATTCACTTAGAAACAATTCAACCAGATTTTGAAGATGCTGAATAAGGAATGAATGTCAGACACCTCAGCCAACAAGGCAGGTATGTCCTGTTATAATGCTTGCATGGTAAGTGATACATCTAGGTCTCACTGTTGGATTATAGATACTAGAGCAACAAATCATATGACCTCTATTTACAGTCTATTATCAGATACAATGGAAGTGATGAAAAACAATAGCAAAATCGTAAATTTGTAACTTTGCAACTTTGGCATAAGAGAATGGGACATCCCTCGTCAGGATTCATGAGACAACTATTGCACACATTAGTGAAGAAGTATGTAGAAATATAGTAAATAACTGTGATGTATTCCCTTTGGCAAAACAATTAAAACTGCCATTTGCTACTAGTAACACTAGAGCAGAAAGTGTTTTTGATTTGCTACATATGGATGTTTGGGGACCATTTAGAATGGCGACCTATGATGGTAATAAATACTTCTTAACAATAGTTGATGATCATTCCAGAGTGGCCTGGATATACTTGTTGAATGTAAAGTCAGATGTATTAGTAGTAATCAAACACTTTCTGTTAATGGCACATAATCAATTCAAAAATAAGGTGAAAATGATAAGAATGACAATGGAATATAATTTGTTAATTCTGAATGTGCTAGCTTATTCAGTAGTCTTGGAATCATACATCAAAGATCATGTCCATACACCACAGCAGAATGGCACAGTAGAAAGGAAACACATGCATTTATTGGAAGTGGCTAAAGCAGTAAGGTTTTAGGGACATCCCTATTAAGTTTTGGGGTAAGTGTATATTGATGGTAACCTACTAAATTAAAAGGATGCCAACCCCAGTCCTTGCAGAAAAAATCACCCTTTGAGGTATTTCACAAAAGAAGTCCTTCAATGGATCACATAAGAGTTCCAAGATGTCGCTGCTATGCCACACCATCAGATGTAGGAGATAAATTCTAGCCCAGGGTATTGGCATGTACCATGATGGGGTATTCAACAGTCCAAAAAGGGTACCTATTATTTGATCTAACTAACAGAACTTTCTTTGTTAGCAGGAATATAACCTTTAGAGAGAATATCTTTCCCTTCAAAGCTACAGGTGTTACAGGATTCCCTTATTTGCTCCCGATTAATGGCCACATAATGAAGATGTCACTATGTCAATTGCTTCTCAAAATGTTGAATCAGTTGCTGCTGAAGGATCAAATAATACTCAGGAAGTTGTACCCGATGACTCTGAAGGATCAAGTACACATAGCAGCTATTCAGCAAGTGTTGAGCCTACTTGTTTCGATGAGACATCACAGGATCCTAAATGGATTGATGCAATGAAGGTTGAGTTGTCTACTCTGGAGGAGAACAAGACTTGAATTATTATGCCTCTGCCACTAGGTAAGAAAGCAATGGGATGTAAATGGGATTACATAATAAATTACAAAGCAGATGGAACACTTGAAAGATACAAGGCAAGGTTGGTAGTTAAAAGGTATAATCAGAAGTAGGGTCTTGACTACCAGGAGACGTTTTCTCCATTTGCCAAGATGGTTACAGTAAGGGTGGTTCTTTCTATTGTAGCAGTTCAAGGCCGACTCATCTATCAGATAGATGTGCACAATCACTTCTTACAGGGAGACCTTTACAATGAAGTATACATACAGATTCCTCAAGGTTTTCACAGCAAGGGGAGTCAGCCATGTTATGCAAGCTTGTTAAGTCCCTTTATGGACTAAAAAAAGCATCAAGACATTGGAATGTGAAACTTGTGGAGGCACTAGTGTAGTCAGGATTTGTACAAAGTCAACTAGATCATTCTCTACTGATAAGGAAGATTGGACAAAGATAGAAGTGGTTCTTATCTATGTTGATGATGTACCGATCACAGGGAATGACACATACTTGGTCTTGGAGACAAAAGGCATTCTACAACAAGCATTTAAGATAATAAATCTAGGAGAATTGATCTTCCTAGGAATAGAGTTTGCAAGATCCAACCAAGGAATTCTTATGAATAAAAGGAAGTATGCTTTGCAGCTTATCTCAGAATCAGGTTTAGAAGGAGCCAAACCAGCATTGACTCCTCTAGAGTGCAATCTAAAGTTAACTAGCAAAGAATATGATGATCATATGGGAGACAAGGAAGATGAACTCTTGGAAGATATTGTCTCACATCATAGGTTAATAGGGAAACTGTTATACCTCACCATGACAAGGCCATACATAAGCTTTGTTGTACAAACCTTGAATCAGTTCTTACAACAACCCAAGAAGTCTCACATGGAGGCAACACTGAGAATAGTGAGGTACATCAAAAGAGAACCAGGAATGGGTGTCTTTTTGTCAAGAAAACTAGCAACACAACACAATGCCTACTGTGACGCTAATTAGGTCTCACGCCCAAATACTAGAAGATCAATGACATGATATTTGGTAAATTTTGGAGAGCCATTGATACCTTGGAAGTCAAATAAGCACACAACAGTCTCCAAACGTTCAATAGGGGATAAGTATAGGAGCATGGCTTCTGTAGTATCAGAGGATACTTGGCTAATCAAGCTATACTTAGAACTTGGTGTCCATTTGACTTTGCCTGTGACACTACTATATGATAGAAAGGCAGATATTCAGATTGCTGAGAATCCAGTTTACCATGAGAGAATAAAGCATATTCGACTGCCACTTCAGAATGGAGAAGCTTCAGAATAGAAGTGTAGCACCAAGACATGTGCAATCAAGAGAGCAACAGGCAGATATCCTAACAAAAGGACTTAGCAGAATACAACATGAGTATTTGGTTTCCAAGCTAGGGTTGCTTAACAGCTTTGCACCCACCAGCTTGAGGGGAAGTAATGAGATTAGTGATGTGAGGTCAGGGTAGTTGAACGTAATTTACTTAAGTTAGTGGTGTNATATAGAACAGAACTATAATTCATTCTTCTCTTTACTGAATGAAAGAAGAAGTTGTTGAGCTCGATTTTCTCTTCTCGATTTCCTCTTCAGTTTTTATTTAAGCAAGTGGATGGGTTAGATGAGCACGTGGGTAGGGTGGGTAACTATAAGTGAACGACCCGGCCGACCATTTTGAGCTCTAGCACATCATTCGGCGGTTTGAGGCCTTAAGTAGCTTCACTTCAGGTATTATGACTTGTACGTATGGTCGAAATTGAATTTTCGGAAGTTTATTATTGATTTGGAAAGAAAACTTTAATTTCGAAAGCTTTAAGTTGGAAGAATTGACTAAGGTTTGAATTTTGAGTAAAGGACCTCAGAATTGGGATTGGAAGGTTCCAAAGGGTTCGTATGATGATTTTGGTCTTAGGAGCGTGTCCGGATGTTGATTTGGAGGTCCGTGGGTTATTTTGGCATCAATTGGTGAAAGTTGGAAATTGGATGATTTTTGAGAAGTTTGACCGGGAGTATATTTTTTGATATAGGGCCCGGATTCTGATTTCTAAAGTTTAGTAGGTCCGTAATATCAATCCTGACTTGTGTGCAAAATTTGAGGTCAATCGGACTTGATTTGTTAGGTTTCGACGTCAAATGTAGAAATTTGAAGTTTTAAAGTTCATCAGGCTTGAATCGATGCACAATTCATATTTTTAGCATTGTTTGATGTGATTTAAAGGCTCGACTATGTCCATATGATATTTTAGGACTGATTAGTATATTTGATTGAGGTCACGAGGGACTCGAGTTAATTCCGAATGGTTAACGGATCAAAGGTTGAAGTTGTGAGATTGCTGAAGACTGGGCTCTGCTGGTGTAACCGCACCTGTGGAGCTTTGATCACATGTGCGAGCTCACAGGTGCGGGATGGGTTGGGCAGATGCGTAGGAATGGACTGGGGGACTGTGGAGCATAGATGCGGCAGGAATTCTGCAGGTGCAGACTCGCACCTGTGCTTGTAGGGTCGCAGTAGCAGAAGCAGGGGTGATGAGGCTGGTCCGTAGAAGCGAGTTCGTTCGCGCAGATGCGCTCTCGCAGAAGCGGGGACCTAACCACAGAAGCAGTTGGGTGGCTTAGTGGCCTCCATAGATACAAAGAGCGTACCGCAAATGCGGTGCCGCCGAAGCGGTTCATGTGGCCTCAGAAGCAAAAGGACACTGGGCAATAAGGTTTTTATAAAAACGGAATTTGGCCCATTTTCTTATATTTTTCACTTAGTTGGGGCAATTTTGGAGAGCTTCAAGGGGAGATTATCATAAAAAAATACAAGGTAAGTGACTCCCACCTATTAAAAGTTAAATACATGGTTTGTATAAGTATTTAAGCATCTGCGCTCCACAGTCCCCCAGTCCATTCCTCCGCATCTGAGCAACACATCCAGCACATGCGAGCTCGCACCTGCGATCAAAGCTCAGCATGTGGGGTTACACCAGCAGAGCCCGATCTTCAGCAATCCCACAACTTTAACCTTTGATCTGTTAACCATCTGGAATCAACTCGAGGCCCCCGGGACCTTGACCAGATATATCAACCAATCCTAAAATATTATACTGACTTAGTCGAGCCTTTAAATCACATCAAACAACGCTAAAAATACGAATTTTGCATCGATTCAAGCCTGATGAACTTTAAAACTTCAAACTTCTATATGTGAAGCCGAAACCTATCAAATCAAGTCCGATTAACCTCACATTTTGCATACAAGTCAATTTTGGCGTCAATTTGCGAAAGTTGGAAATTGGATAATTTTTGGGAAGTTTCACCGGGAGTGGACTTTTTGATCTCGGTGTTGGATTCTAATCCGAAAGTGGGAGTAGATCTGTAATGTCAATTATGGCTTGTATGCAAAATTTGAGGTCAATCAGACTTGATTTGATTGGTTTCGGTGTCGATTGTAGAAGTTTGAAGTTTTAAAGTTCATCAAGCTTGAATCGATGCACAATTCGTATTTTTAGCATTGTTTGATGTGATTTAAAGGCTCGACTAAGTTCGTATGATATTTTAGGACTGGTTGGTATATTTGGTCGAGGTCCCGGAGGCTTCGAGTTGATTTTGGATGGTTAATGGATCAAAGGTTGAGGTTGTGAGATTGCTGGAGACTGGGCTCTGCTGGTGTAAACGCACCTGCGGAGCTTTGATTGTAGGTGTGAGCTCGCAGGTGCGGGATGGGTTGCGCAGATGCGTAGGAATGGACTGGAGGACTGTGGAGCACAGATGCAACATGTATTCTGCAGGTGCAGACTCGCACCTGCGCTTGTAGGGTCGCAGAAGCAGGGGTGATGAAGCTGGTCCGCAGAAGCGCGTTCGTTCGCGCAGATGCGCTCCCGCAGAAGCGGGGACCTGACCGTAGAAGTGGTTGGGCGACTTAGTGGCCTCCACAAATGCGAAGAGCGGACCGCAAATGTGGTGTCGCATAAGCGGCTCATGTGGTGGTAGAAGCAAAAGGACACTGGGCAGTAAGGTTTTAATAAAACGGGATTTGGCCTATTTCCTTTCATTTTGCACTTGGCTGGGGCAATTTTGGAGAGCTTCAAGGGGAGATTTTCATCTAGCAACACAAGGTAAGTGACTCCCACCTTTTACAAGTTAAATGCATGGTTTCTATAAGGATTTAAACATGGAAATTAGTAGAAATTGTGGGGGTTTTGTTAGAAAACCTAGAATTTGGTATTTTTGAAATTTGACCACGAAATTGGATATGGGATTTGGAATAAGTTATATATTTTAGTTCGTGGTGTTATGGGTAAGGTTTACATTCAAAATTTTTTGAAATTCGGGCACGTGGGTCTGAGGGTTGATTTTTATAGGCTTTTCGAACGGAGTTGAGAATTGTTTGAATTGATTAATTATGGGTATCAAACTATATTTTGATTGGTTTGCACATTGTTTGATTAGTTTTGGATAGACAGGCTTTGGTTTGAGGTGTTAGAGATGTCTTGGAGCCGGATTTGGAACTTCAGAGCGAGGTAAGTCTCCTGTCTAACTTTGTGAGGGGGAAACTACCCCTAGTTGATATTTATTGTTATGTGTAACTAATTGTGGGTGCTATGTACGCACGAGGTGACGAGAGTCCGTACGTAGCTAAAGCATGTTTATGTCCGGGTAGACTTAGGACATTATCATGTATAATTGAATTGTTTGAACTCGTTCTGCTGGCTTAATCAATTAAAGTTATAAATGAAATTGATTTAGAAGTAAATATATGTATACTAAGCCAAGCCTTAACATTTTGAGTTATGGGCGAGTTACTTGGGAAACGGTAAAGGTTATATTCATTTTGTGCCTATGTACGGTATTGTAAACACATGTCTTATAATTCGGTAACTTCCTTCCTTTTCTTATGGAGTGGGCCGAACGCCTCGGCAGTATATAGATGCATCTATAGTTCGTGCCGCTCGACCCTCGGTAGTGTACACATTATTCTGGATCGGGCCGAACCACCTCGGCAGAATCGTGCGTTATATCGCTGGTAGTCTGAATATTCACGAGCTAATCTCCCCACTGATGCCCGGTATTTATATGGTATTATTGATAATGACACTTGACATTCTTCTGAGTTATTAAGGTAGAATACAAGATTGAGAAAGTTATGCTTTAAAGGAAATGATTGGAAAATTATGAGATTACAGATTTACTCCACTATTATTGTGCACTTCATACCTGTTATGGATTATTATATTAGTTGCTTGGACCTCTAGTAAATATCAATGTCGACCCCTCGTAACTACTTCTCTTGGGTTAGGTTAGATACCTACTGGGTACGCGTTATTTTACGTACTCATGCTGCATTTCTGTACTAAATGTGGAGGATCTGACAGGTTCATTGATGACCACCTTGGCGCGTAGGCGCACCTGTTGGGGAGACTTCATATGAGCTGCATTTTAGGCTACGCATCGCAGTCCACCGAGTCCTCATTGTACTATTTATTTTCTTCCGTCTTATTACATTCGGGACAGATGTTGTATTATTATTGTACTCCTTAGCAAAAGCTCATGCACTTGTGATACCGGGTTTTGGGGGTTCCTTCAGGTTAATCATTATTGAGGTTCGTGTAAATATTTTTATTCACTCTGTAAATTCTATTTTATACTGTTCAATAAAGGAAAATTATGATTTGAAGATACTAAAATGAGTAATTAATTTGGTAAACAATCATTGGCTTGCCTGACGGCGGCGTTCAGCGCCATCACAACCTATACTAGAATTTTGGGTCGTGACAGTAGGCGTGTCTATTAGTTATTACCAATTAAATACACTATTGTTAATGGATACTCAATTATCATTAATTTATATATAATTGGTAAAGTTTTATACTAAAATGTAATTAAGCGATAACCTCTCAAATATGAGTAAATAAATTTAAAATATAGTATAGCTAGGTAAAATTCCTATTTGTTATTACCAAATCTTGCAAGCTTCTCGTAGGATCATTATATGCACCATCACCCTGCCATCTGTTATCACTTTTTATTCAAACCAGCAAATCAATAAACGTTAGTTTAAAGAAAAAACAAAGCAGGAAAAATTCTGAGCCCACACGTTTCTTGTATTTTCTTAAAAAATTTAATCCCCTCACAATGCCTAAGGTTGTGGATTAATTCCTCCCAGAATAGAACTGAATAACTATTCTGTGATAGAGGAACTTCAAATCACAGAATTTCGGCAAACTCAAATGGCGGACCAAATCACACAAAATGCTTACCTTTTGCTTTTGAAAAACCAATGCAGTATGCAGAAAATTGAGGGGAGAGATTTCAGA